TGCATGTGGCTTACCCATGTGCACTTAACTATTCTATAACGAAGAAGAATATTCTATAACTATTATAGTATATAATTGCTCGTAATCTGAATGATCTCTGCTTTTAAGACTTCAATAAACAAACAAATAAATTATGAGTAATGAGTAGGCATCTTTAAGCAATATACAAAATAATATGGATGGGTGATCGTGTAAAGCTAAGGGTGGTTGCGCCAGTGGTAAAATTGCTCTTTTAGGACTTCCGGGTTACTGCTTCCGATATATTTTTACGCCGCAGATTGAAAAAACGCGCCATCATATTATTGCATCATATCTTTTGCAGTATTTCACATGTACCGAGTTCTTTCTTTCAGCCTTTAAACTTCAGCATTATCATATTAATATTATAACCATTAGAATATTTTCTAATCAGGCTAACTTAAAAATATATTTTTGGCGACATTTTATTCAAATGTAGCCAAATAAGGGATAAAATACAAAACATGGCAAACCTTAAGAATTATTCACAATGAGATATTAACTTTCCGAAATTTTTTTTGGCCTTACGACCTCTGAGAATCAATACATTTCTGAAAGCTCTTATGAATGGTACAATTATGTTTAGATTTGAACTCAAATTACAATAACAAAACTGCATAGAATATTTGGCTTGTTCACACATCGCCTCTTAGTCATAACATAAACGGAGGGATACACCGGAAATTTTCTAAATTTCTTCCGGTTTAAGGACGTGTGTTATTGTTTACATTAGACCACCCATCCATACTGGTTTACGGAAATGAAAAAATTTTAGAATTCAAATTAAATTGCTTTTTAATGATCAACACTGATTACGCGCAATGCTAAGGTACGGCGGGTATGTCAGAAAATAATCCCTAGGACGAAGCGAACGCCACTTTTTGTGCGTAAAACCGGTCTGTCAAAAGCGTGTTGCTTTTCTAAAACCCCCCGGGAAAAGTTAAATGTCCTTATCCCCTATATTAGTCCCTGGACTGCTATTAAGTAAAATAATAAATAAAAATAATAAAAAAATATTTTCCAAGGATTCGCGATCGCAACACTCGAATACGCCATCTGGGAAGAGACCAGTTTCATGCCTTTAGCCCTTCTGACTGCCAAAAAAGCGAGTTATTCAAAACCTAGCAACCATGTCCAAGAGCGCCGGCAGAATAATATAAAAGGGGGTGCAACTCTCTTACAGACTACCCCCCCCAAAAAAAAGAAATTAAAAATATTCTGTTATTGCATTTTGTTTTGTTATTACATATACTTTCATCTTTTAATTTTTCAAGATGCATTTCTTCATTGTTAACAAGATATTTAAAAAAAAGTACAAATTTCTTGTTCTTGCAAATTTTGCCACTAGAAACTGTATTGATGGCGCTGGCATAGCTGCTGACTTTGAAACACAAATAACTACAAACAGTAGTTTCGTATACTAACGTGTTTGTGCACGCTTAACATTGGTATTTATTGTGTTGATGAAGTTTTACAGTTATGAGAAGTCAGTTTGTGTTATACACCTTTGTTACCTAAATAACTAATAAAAAATATTCAAATGAAATTTCAGAAGATATATATATACTATGTAGACATAGTATATATACATATCTTCTATGTATATATACTATGAGAGTAGATCTTTATACATCACTGAAGCTACAACGTGGTACGAAATGTGGAGGAATGGAGAAAATTCTTATGTTTAGTTACTGAGGCCACACCGTTTTATCCAACTCTAGCGGAGGTAATCAAAATTGACCTAACTGCTACGTGCTACTCCAGCTACTACGTGCACTATTGAACGCACTTTTAGTACTACGTGAACATGGAATCGGTCAACATGGAACAACATTCAAAACATGGAATCGGTCTACAATGTCTCACGAGAGATTAAGTAGTTTGTGCATGCTCAATGTGCACAAGAAAAGAATCAAAGATGACTCAGAATTCATTGAAAAAGTTATAAACAGATTTGGACAGCAAACAAGACGATTGCAATTTTTGTTTGATTAAACACTTTTTTAATTGTTATGCACTAATATACTTAATATAATTACTTAATTATTTGTTTTTGAATAAAAATATTTTTAATAAAAAAAATGTATAACAAAATTGTTTTTCTGTATCTCTTTAATCTTTTAAAAAAAGCCAGGGGGGTGCAAGCGCACCCCCTTGCACCTCCCTGCCGGCGCCTTTGACCATGTCATCTTTTTTAATAATAAATAACAAAATAACTCAAACAAATTTTCCCTCCAAACTCCCCAGAATTACATAATAACATTAATATCTTATGGAATACGGCAGATTTGAGCACAGAAATTATCTAATTTAATTTTTTAATTGAAAACAAAATTATCCGTTTGAAAACATCGCCTATCAGAATAACATGTAGTAAGCAGCTGCAAACTTTTTAACCGGAACTAGAGTAGGTGCCGAGCTCGAGATTGTTATTGTTTACATTTCTACTGAAAACACCATCTCGAGCTCAGTACCTGCTCTAGTTCCAGTTAGAAAGTCTACTACAGCTTATTCTGCGAAGCGATATTTTCAAACGGATAATTTTGTTTTTAACAAGAGATATAAATTAGATAATTTCTGAGCTCAAATCTGCCGTATTTCATAAGATATTAATGTTATTAAGTAATTCTGGTGAGTTTGAAGTGAAAATTTGCTTTAGTTATTTATAGATGTATTGTTAAGAAAGGTGACATGGTATCTAGATTTTGAATAACTCGCTTTCTTGGCAGTCCTGATTTAGCCTCTTTCCATTTGTTTATTGCTGTTTGTTCTTGTTGCAAGCTGCGCAAAATCTTACGTTAGTGTTACCACTTTTAGCATTGCAAACACAAGTATTGTTAGCATTGTAAACACAAGTAATAAGTAATCAAATACCACGTTTACAAGAATCTCAAAACACAATAAACACAAAACACAATAATCTCTAATGGCTTTAAAATACAACGGAAACAGTAACCCGGAATTATTGGCGGTATGAAGCTTTCAACTTTCCCTAGTGTGGAAAACACCATCCAGTGTTCTATCTTTACGAATTTTATAATTGGCGATCGAAGTGAGCAATAGGTGGTGTAGAGCAGAACTCTCGACCAATGGCAACACTTCGCATGTTTTCACCATTTGCTTGGGGAGAGTCATAGAAGAAGGAAGTACGTTAGTTTCTGTCTTGATTTTCCTATAGATTAAAAATTTTTAAGTTAGGAAACTACATGGAACTGAAAACTACAATAAACATAATTCTTAAAGAAAGCATCATGGAAAATCTAAAAAAAATATATTCTTTAAAGTTGAAAACGAAAAATATTAAAAAAAAGCAAAAATATCGTAGTACATTCTATACAGTTCAAAAGAGAAGGAGAGGAGAGGGAGAAGAGCCCAAGGCATGGAACCTGCCTAAAGGCATGGATTCGAGCTTTAAAAGAGATACCACATAACATCCCAACATAATTTTAAATATTTTGTAAATCAAAAAAGTTATTAGTAAAAAATGTTTCATTTCTTTATATCATTGATTGAAAGGTTGGAAATTAAAACAGAAAGGAGTAACAGATCACAAATGTGACTTTTTTCTAAGTAAGTGTATAATTAAAAAACAAAAAGCTTAATATTTTTTACTAAACTTCAATGTATTCTGTAAGTTACATTAAGGTTTACAAACGTGACTTATTTCTAAGAACTTCTAATTTAAACAAGAATTTGAATATTTTGTTTTACTAATACTAAAAATTAATTAGTTTCAACAATGGATTTATATTAAAATCTAGTTTAGATTATATATCAGATGACAGAAATTCTTGCTTAATCTGAGAATGAATCATAAATAATTTAATTTTAAAATAATTTTTTGCAGTAATTCAATCTAGTATTTAAATTGACCAATATTTTTATAACTAAAAACTGCAGCTATCAAATAGTGTTTTTAAAAGTTTCATTTTTAATTGCTAACTCGTAAGTAGATATCTCTGCTCCCTAAGGTGCGAAATCTGGTCGCTATCTAAGTTCATTATGCCAAATAACAGTTATACAAATTCAAAGAAAAAAAAAGTTGCTGGTTTCAGGGGTGATTGTGAGTCCAACTCAAAAATCCTGATAATTTCATGAGAAAAACCATTAATGACGAAATTGCCAAAAATTAATGTCTTTATAAATTTAAATCATTGATATTTTAACAATGTGAAATTCTAAATAAATTATAAGCAGCATAATTTAAATGAATAATTATGTATAAGTTTACTTATATCTCTAATCACATTTATTATTCTACTAGAAAAAATATTTACAAATGAAAGAGATTGCAAGTATAAATTCTAGTTCTAGTATTTTTAAATAAAATATACAAGAATTTTCATACATAAATGTGATAGATGATCTCTTGAAACTTCTGGACCATTGATTTCTGTAAATTTCAGGATCGCAATTAGCGAAAAATTCTGATTTTTTCCGGAGCACAATCATTTCTGTGGTTTTGTTTGTGTGTTCCATTTTTTAATTGGCTCATGTAAAACAGACAGAGTTAACGTGTGCTTAAGTGTTTCTTTTTTCATTAGTTTACAAACTTCTTCATGATAAAAATCCATTATTTGTATGTAGCAGTAAGTGTTCATTAAAAAATAATGATATTGTATCAATGACACAACAAATAAAGTAAGAGGGATATATATTAATATTGATTTGAATTGAATTTCAAATAGAGTATGTTTTAATACAACTTTTTATTAATATATGACTGACGGGTACTTACACAAATGTTAAAAAAGTATTAATAAAGCATTTCAAGATTCGGCATGCCAATATTTCTATTAACATGAAAATTTTATAAAAGCAATAAATTATGAGATTTTCAATTTTTGTTTATATTACTACACCTTTAATAAAAAATGAAAATAATTAGATTGACAAGGTAAATAATACAATATATTTCTATATTAAAAATAAATTTTATTTTCATGAGGTCTTTTGTTGAAATATACATTTTACATTTAGATAAGTTAAACAATAATTAAACATAGTTTGAAAGATCAAGCAAAATAAAGTTAACAAACTTAAATGTTCTAATTTGTCTTTACACATTGTAAAAAGATCAGCTTATTAGGGGAGAACAGTATAATAATAATAATAAAAAAAGAAAACTGAAGTAGAAATAAAAAAAATTATTAATTTTTATTTATCCTAATCAATGAATTTGTTTAAAATAATGTCTTGGGAAATTTACATAAGTTAGAATACTGATTGTCAGCAAGAATTGTGAAATAAAATCAATATATATATATATATATAAATAAAAGATTAAAAATATTTTTACTAAAAAATTTGTGGTTTTAATTATAATTTTTTGATTTTTGAGTACAAATATAAATAAGCTGTTATATAAGCATTGATAAATTGACATTTTATGTTATTTTTTAACTATTCATCTCTAAAAGTAACAATTCAATGTTAAATCTTAAAACAGAAAAATAATTTCGCTATTTTTTAAGACAAATAGTTTCAAGATAGGCAAGATTACTCAAACACACTAGAGGTCAAATGTTTAGGTTTTATTCACATAAAAAAAAACTGAAATAACTAACAAATTTTTTTCTTCTGAATAAACAATCTACTTTTTACCTATATAACAGCCATCACCAAAATAAGTATAAAACAAATAAAAAAGAAAATAATTTTTTCCTTTAATTCTAATCTACAGGCATTAGCAAACCTTTAAAGAACATATACTAATATGAAGATAATGGCATTATGATATATATGTATACATAATTCAGAGATTCCTTAAAAATATTTTAAATCATTTTTAAGAAACAAATCAATCACACTGACAATAAATATCATTAACTACAATATGTCTTCCCGCTAGAGCAAACAATATGTGTAAAAATACTCTAAAAATATAAATAGGTAGGTATAAATTGTTTCTAAAAATATGTATATGAAGAATTGGCAGTGGCAAAACATCTCCTTAAAAACCTGAGAGGTTATATATATATATATCTTTAAAACTGAGTACAGGTACAGTGAAATATGAATGATTTATTTACAAGTAAATGCACGAAAACAATACACAACAAATGCTCTTGAAGGCTACTTTTTAGTGATTAGAGGCACTGCATTTTTAGCAATGAATTAACAATAACAACATTTATGATCATTTCAAAAACATGGACATTTCACAGTAATTCTATAAATTATGGAAGATTTCATAATTTCAAAAACATGCAAAAACAACTGAAATCATGCAACAATATTAAATCAAATTATGATTTTTTTTCTTCTTACAAACTATATCATAAGATAAGAACAGCAAATAAATTAAATATAATACTTATTTAAATACTATTAATAGATATATAAATTTAGAGATTCTGATACAAGTATATTTAAGAATTAAAAAATTTGAAATCTGCTTACACATGATAAAATAACTTAATTATAAATTAATTTCTAAACCTGTACTAAAAATTAATTCATAATTCAGAGCCTCTCGTATATAAATGAATGATCTAAAGCAAACTTCATGTTTAACACGCATTTTTCATAAGTATATTGCAAGAACAAAATTTTAAAAAAAGAAAAAGAAAGAAGTCAAAATATAATTTAACACAAGATAGTTCTATTAACAACTTTTGAGCAATTATTAGCACACAAAACAATTTAAGGTACATTTATGTGATAAAATTTTTCTTCTCAAGCTCCTCTTTAATACCATTAATAACTGATATAAGTTTCACAGCTGGACCTAGTTTCATGCACATCATAGTCATTAAGTGATCTTCTTTAAGCAATAGCAGAGCTTGACCATCAATCTCCTGGGACCGAAATGTATCAGCATAATCAGAGCAACCAGGTGTGTCTTTTATGAATTCAAACACATCTTGAACCTATAGATATGTATATTAATATGTAGTTTAAAATACAGCAAATAATTTTTTTTAAAACTATAATAAGATAGAAGAAAAGAGGAAAATAAATATAAGAAATTATGAAAAAGCTTGTAAGTTTAAGTTTTGAACAATATTAACACAAAAGTTCAGTATGTTTATGTACATGTATGTACAGAACTTGTGGTTTAATGTAATTAAATTAGTATCAAAATTTTATTCCCAAATATAACTTTTGGGGGGCTATATTGGAACGAAAGCTAGAATGAGGATGTTTTAATGAGACTTAAACTAACATTGCGTCTATTGAATAGCAACGAAATGTGAATTCACATATTGGATCAGTGTTCGTCAATAAGCATTTAGATGCGTATTTCACACATCTGATTTGAGCTTCACTTCTGAAAAATTTTACCAGGCAGAAAAATATTCCTCATTTTTCAGGCTCTAGGAAGCACTTAAATCCCTTCGGAAATCAGTAGATCAATTTATTCATCATAAATGCATGACCTCTATAAATATATTACTGATGAATGTGATTGTTAACACTCAAGTCTTTTAAAAATTACAACTGCTCAGGAAAAAAGTTTTGCCGTAACATAAAATTAAAAAAAAAAAAAAAAAAAAAACAAGGTTTGTTTAAGGATAAACATTTTAATGACCATGTCAAACTGTCTTGCAGAAGGATTCTTCTTTTTATACAAGCAATGAAGGCGTCAATTTTATTATTAATTTTGGATCCACTATAAGTCGTGTAAAAATTAAATAAAGAAGGTGCATAAAATTTTTTTATGCAATATACCTTGTTAGTAAGGCTTTTTTTCTTGGACCCTTTTTCAGAAATCTTAATCTAATTAACCAGCATGTAGTGTTAAAAAATTAAAAAATGTGGAATAAAGTTTTTTCTGGGGGCTTACTTTACATAAATAATATGCCAGTTATGAAATAAAATATTTTATAAAATGAAAATTGGCTATAATTTACAAATTTAATCTGTTTTGACATTTGCTCATTGACTTTAAATTTCAAATCTAGAAAATTAATAGAGGGGTTAAATTACTCTTATCACAAACGGGTTGGTCGCTATGGCCTCCGGCCACGCGCCAACCAACCAAAATCACCATAGTGATATTTTTCCTTCACTTGTTGCTGAGGGTGGCAACGAGTGACTGAGAGAGGCCATGTGTTTTAAAATGTAACCAAGTAGTGTGTGTTTAAAAGGGAGATTAAAAAAAACTATCTCCTACAATTGTACCATGAATAAATTTTGTTTTAACATTTTTAATAAAGTCTTATACCTGAAGCTTTTAAAAAGTGTTATACTCTCTAAAAAGGCTTTTTTTTCATTCAATAAAACACTGTATTGGGTAATGGAAATATAACATATAACACTAAATGTGTACACTACCCTACAATAATGGAAGAGTCACTTTGAGTTTTTTACATTTTTATTTCAAAATTCTCAAGAAATATTTAAATAATTTTGTAAGTTTAGGTCATGCGCTTCTTTGTACTTTTCCTAACAATATAAGATTTTTTATATTTATAAATATTTTGAAATTTAAAGCTTTCAGAGGCTTGAGAGACTGGGAGTAAATTCTGAACAAAAACAAGTAAATACCCCATGTGAGAAAATACAGTAATAAGCTTGTAACTTGACTTGAATAGTTGGGTTAAATAATGCTATAAAAGCATTTTGTAAACCTACTCTAAATATAAATGAAGATGTGGAATTAGTTGTAAAATACCAATCTTTTTGTTTTAAATTTTTTGGAACAAATTTTAAGTAATAATAATAAAATTTTAACATGTGAAGAAATTTTGTTGAAAATTGCTCAAGACATTAGCATTAAAAGTAGTTCTTTCATACTGGGCATGGACAGAAATGCCTTTTTCTTAGTATCACAGTGAATCATATTTGGTAACAAATGAAAACATTTTGATTTGAATATCTTGAAAAAGTTCCCAACAATTTTTAAAGTAGTTTTTGAACTTCTTAAAGAAAGCTTTTAATGTTAAGGATAATCATCTGGACACCAAAATGTCATGATATAAGGAAAGAAAGCATATTTTTATGGGAAACGATCGCTCACAATGCCAATGTCATATTTAATGAATCTTATTAAACGGTACAAAATAAAATTCATATAAAATCCCTTATAATTCAGAGCTTTCTTTAAAAAGTTAAAAACTGTGACAATTGTTCGAAACTTTTAAAATTTTTGAGATATTCAAATCAGACTATTCAATAGTTACATAATACAATTCCTTACAAAATTATGAAAAAAGGTTTATTAAATTGTTTTTTCTTTTGCGCATGCATAGTTTGATAGAACAACCTTAAATGCTCTTATCTTGCTCAAATTTTCTTCAAATTTTACGAAGTTAATTTTGTTATTAATTAAAAATTGCTTCCATATATGCATTTAATTAGGTTGAATTAGTTTTTTTAATATAAAATGTTCAAATATCTAAAAATATGTAATCTAAGTTAAGGAAATTTCATGCAAATAAAAAATTAAGAAATTGATGCAAGTTACAAGCCAATTGGTTTTAAATTTTCTGGCATAGTGTATTCCAAAAAGACCGATTTTTGCTGATAATATATTGTTGGTCCCTCAAACCTCTGAAAGCTTTCAAATTTATTGATAAGTATGACAAATCACATGACCTTAATACTTCCAAAGTTACAAAATAATTCACTAAACATTTCTAGAGAAATTTAAATCAAATGTAAAAACTTAAAGTGTATCTTCCATTATTGTAGTGTAACATACATAATATATATATTATAAGATACAAAAAAACATATACAGACTGTAAATTAAATACAAATTTCAAAACAAGTCAGGTAAAGTTTAAGAAATACATACACTCCAACTTGAAGGTAATTTTTGAGATGGGGGTACGAAATCGGAGTTGTCTGCTTTTTGAATTTCAATTATTTCCTGTTCAGCTGTAGCAGGTGGCAAAGATGAATTCTCTTGATGCATCGGATGCTCTTCTTCTGCTTTATTGGATAAAACTGAAGAATCATCTTCAGTAATACTTGTATTGCTTTCATCAACAGGAGATTCAATTACTTCCTCACTTTCTTCAATAAGTGCCTAAAAAATGGTTTAGAATCATATTTATTAACTAAATATGAGTAACTGAATTAAATAAACCTTAAGAATGGAATGCAATCTTTTATAAATTTTTCCCTTCAATCCTTGGAAAATAGAATAACAAATCAAGCCAAAACTATTTATGTATAAATAAGAATAGAAATAAGACATATATAATACAATCTTTACAATTAAAATAAAAATATAAATGTGTGTTTGCACACACATTTATATTTTCATTTTCATTGTAAAGATTTTATATATGTCTTATTTCTATTATATAAAACAAATATGGGTTTAGCTGCCTTGTGCGCTTTTCCAATTTGATTTAATGTATCAATGTGTTTATTTACCTCTCATGTATCAAAATTGACTTCGTACATTGAATTGATTTTATGATAAGAATAGAATTCTTCAGATGATATTCCATTCTCATTTTGGTATTCTCTTTTATTTTATTTTTCATAAAAAAAAAACATACAATGATGCTTTAAATTAAGTCCTAGTCAAAATTTATTTGCATGCTTTTTAACTTACTTCAACACAAAGATCATGTTTTTAAATATTTCATAAAATTGGGAAACTTTAGTATAATATAAAAGCAATGTCCAAAATGCCTCTATACTCGATGAATTAGCACATATAAAGCAAGAGGTGTGACAAAGAACGATGGTAAAGTTTGACACTTAGTGCCAAAGGGAGAATAGGTCAAAAATATTTAAATTAAAGTGTGGTATCGAGACTCCATTTCTTATTATGGGGAAAGATACAGAAATGTTACAAAATAATTTTTTACACTTATATTAACTACATTTTCTTTCCTTTTTTTTTTCTTCGCTTTTATTATATTTAAATTAAAGAGAAAAATGAACCATATTTCTAACTTTCCCTTTCAAATTGTTAAATGTTTGTGATAAGTAAACTTTAAAACAGTTTTAAGTTACTTTTTTTTATAAAAAAAGCAATCGCTTAATCTTTAAAAAAATACTTCTATAAAAAAATAAAGGATACAAGACAGTTCTAAATAATTTAGTTTAAGAGCAATCAAGATTAGGACTCATCCTAAGTTTTATACCGCAGAAATTAATAAAAATTTCACTGAAAAGATATAGCAATGGTTTATCAATAAACTACTGTGGAAAACGAAATAGTTTGCCAAACAACTCAAGCAAAATTTATTTATAAAAATATTTTCAAAATTAAAAATATTACCTGCTTCTTTAAACTTTTTCTACCTCTGCCCACTTTTCTTTTACGTCCAGGGCCTACAAAATAAGTACAACAAATTAAAAATTGAATAAAACCAACTTGGATTAAGTTGTTAAAAGAGTAAATTTACAATACAAACCTTAAACCAATATTTAAAGTTAACTTAGAGGACGATTGGCTTATCGGAGCTCACTCATGTTATGCTGTTTGCAGTACATATTTTTTCAAATACATATAAATTTGGTATTAAATCTAATGGTATTAGGTCTAAATGAGGACCCCTATTTTAAGAATATTGGTTCTCAGTTAGAAGAAGAATTGCTTTTAAGACTTAAGAAATCTCATTTTATTTCCCTTTATCATTACAAACTTATCAACTGTGTTCTATAGAAGTACGAAAAAGCTGTAGGAAAAAATAAGTTTATTATATGCAACTCAAAGTTGTATCGAACTTCACATAAAATTAACTCAGAATAACATTAGCAAATTAAAGTTTTTCTGTGTTATTCAAAATGCAGACTTCGTCTTAATACACATAACTTTTGGTACCGTGATGTAGAAAAAAAGAATAATAGAAGCTGCTGCAAAGAAATATAGCTCTCCTCTTGTCTTTTTCTCACTAGAAAATTAGTCAAGTGTGTAAAAGCTGTAAATAAGAGTTTATTATAAGCAAGTCGACTTATAAACTTGCACAGAATTTGAACCCTGGTCTTAATGTCGGATTATAAATTGTTTCTATAAAAAAGAAATAGCAACTTCCTTTTACTGCAAGAATTATATTGATATGCAATGATTTGATATTGCTATTCAATGCTTTGAAAATTATTGAAATGTTATCATAGATATAAAGGTAGACAGATACGTATACTATAGAATTTAAGGTCCTTTTTAGAATTGAAACAATTTCTTTAAGTATTATTCTTCAAAAAGTTGCTTTGAATACCAAATTTGATTATAGAGACATACAAAATACATTGATTATATTAAAGTTTTATATTAGAAAAGGGAAGTAACCTAAATCTAAAGAAAATAAACTACCTCAGAATAATGCAGACTTTTTTTTAATTGCATCCATTTTCATTAAAATATATACATATATATATATTACCATATTAAAAAATATTTCAGTTATTAAAGCTAATTTGGGAAACTTAGCTCAGAAATTTTTTTTTTAAGATATTGCTTTCAAAGCACTTGTTCATTTTGTATACATTGTTATTTTAAAAAATGATTTTTATTTGGTTAAATACCCCGCGAAATACACAATAATACTTATAATTATGTAAATACATTCAAATGGTGTTTGTATTATTTTTTATGTAAATAATTTTTTTTCCTTTTTGAAATTTGCTACTTAGTCCTGTTTCCTTAGAAAATAAGATTTTAATAAATTTTCATAGTACAAAAATGATGTAAACTGAAATTAATTTATTTTTTGATTAACATTTTTTTTAAAGAACCTTCTTTTACCGCAATATTATTTGGAAAATCACTATTGAGAGTGTTTAGTGAAATTTTATTCTCACAATGATGGTTATTCTTAAAATGATGCTCAATTGTAATTTTAAAAAATATATGAAACTGTGTCATATAAGCTTAATTAGTATAGGAAGAAAAGAAATTTTTGGTAGGGTGCTGGACTCCTGTTCATGAGAACGGGAGTTCTAATCCAGACGGCAGAAGACTCCCCGTTTAGTAAATGGTGACTGGTGCCCGCTAAATCTGTCTGGTCACAGAGTTCTCCATGATCCCAAAACAAATTATACCTCTGGGTGTACTGGATTGGAGATTGATCATTTTCTGGTTCAATTCAAAATTACGATCTATGGATAAATGAATGGGTCCGAGCTATAAACGAGTGCGACAGAAGTCGAACCCTTGGTCCAAGATGGCGCTACTGGAAAACAAGAACAATTGCACCCCCAGTGCCTTAATGGCCTACAAAGACAACATCAATATTAAGCTCTATCTTTTTAGGTTGCTCTGAAACTCAAGAGGAAAAGTTTGATTTATAATTATCAGTGATTACCAATGTAATTCAAGAAGTATTTCCAATAAACTTTTTGAAACATAATTTTCCTAATATAATCATAGTCACCATAACTAATCTTCTTCTCATTAAAATAGCAAAATATGAGAATGAGAGTCAGAATAAAAACTTTTCTGCTTAAAAATATTACAGTAAAATCTGTAAAAATTCAGAATTTTACTATTATTAAAAATATAAGGTTAATAAGTAGGGAAAGTCGGGAATAAAAGTAAAAAATGTAATTATCCTGATATCAAAAATTGAGATTTTTTCAGTAGTAACTAAGCTGAATGAAATTAGAAATATTCTTTTGACATAAGCAATAATTACAATGTTTTAGTTAAATATGTTATTTTGAATTTATAAATATTTAACAGTTTTATAAAAACCAAGTTATCTTAAGCTTTTTTCAGTAATAAAAGATATAAAAGTTTTATACTACAAAACAACGTAAATATTCTCTTTCTTAAATTCAAAAAGGCAAGATGATTTTTTTTTTTTTTTTTTAAAAAAAGGGGGTATGGCTGTAGGTAAAATAATACATTTTACCTGGAGCCACATTAGCTGGATGAAGCAGCCCAACACGTTTGGAACAGCAAACATTGAATCTTTTAGCACAGGAAGTAGAGCAAAAACGTTTAGATTTCTTAAATTTGTTTTTAGCCCCAAACTTTCCGCAAAATTCACACTTTGCCAATTCAACATTACCTCTGCCACGATGAATTTTCACTTTCTTTTCAGGACTGGCAACTGTAAATTAAAAGATAAAAACAAATATTACAAATAAATAAACAAGTCTTATTACAATATGATGCATATAAAATTAAAGCTACAATTGAATCCCTTACCCGGCTGGTTTCAGCCACCAACCAAAAATTTTTATTTGTTACTCGGCCGGTTCTGGATACCTTGTAGGGTATTATAACATTTATGTATAACACCATAAAAATCAAATATTTTCATATCATTTTTCAACTAATAAGTATTTTACAAGATAAAGTTCAGGAAAATTTGTTAAGTTTCTATATAAATTTATTTTGTTTACTATAGCGGTTGTGTTGAATATAAATAAGCGTTACCCAGCACTGGATACTTGGTAAAAAATTGGTCTGGGTATCTAGTTCTTGGTAATAAATTTTTTTGCTGGGATCAGGTAATAACAGAATAATGAAAATATGGCCAGATACCCAGTACATCCTTATTAATTTCCCTAAAGAAAACTTAATATAAATAAAACAAGCATTACTAGGATTAATATATTGATTATAAAATAAATTTAATGAATTATGTAAAAGATAATAATGTTAAGTTTTTGACTGTTTTATTTTATTTTTACAATTATTTATATAGTGCTTTTATTTAAAAATTTTTTTCTTATGCCTACCACGTACATAAACTAAACATAAAATAAAGGTATGTTTCTTTCCATTAAATACGTAATAATTCTAGGAGCAAATTTGACTGGATAATTTTTTTTTTTTTTTACCAGACACCAAATAGTCCAAATTGGAATATATTTCTTCAATTATATGGAGGATAAGTGTGAACAAAAATAATGGTGTGAAGTACAGTTTTTCATCAGATTAAAACTTTTAGGTTTAAAAATGCATTATGAAATAAATTTATTTTTTCTTCTTAGAAATTTCAACACTTTTTGACTAAGAAATTGAACATTTGACCGATTTTTTTAAATAGTTGAGGTTTTCCAGTTGTTAGACACTCTTAAGCTGACCCATTCAGAGCTATCTATATTCACTTACACCTTTGTGTAATACAGTATAGTGTGGAACCCGTAATCCAGCACTTGATCCAACCTTTTTTTTAAAAAAGAAATTGTTATTGATAAGAGAGAAAAAAAAGTATCAGTCATTCTTATTTTATTTTCTTGAAGTAACTATAAAAATCTAACTATAAAATATATCTTAACTATAAAATATATCATAAAAAAAAACAAACAATAAATCTGTGTCAAACAAAACATCTGTTCCTAAAGCAGTTTAAAATAAAGTGAAATTGTAAAGTAAAAACACCTGCATTTCCAATGAACAAAATAAAGAAATGCATGTTGAGAGAAACTGATCAATCAATCTTGACAGCTGTGCAAGTGCTTTATTGGTTTGTCCCCACATTTCCCTCTCCTGTTCCACCATAAATTGGCCACACCCTGTTGACATTGAAACTACCATGTGGTGTACAAAATGGATTCTATCCCTTTCGCTGCTTTTTTTTTTTTATTCCCCTTATTTATTTTGCAGCTTTTTCATGTTATTAACTGTTACTTTTTTTGTTAATTGTTAACTTGTTTTTTTTTTTTAATTTATTGTTTGCTTGTTTTTTGTAGTCATTCATTGTTAGTTTCTTAGCATTAATTGCTACTTTTTTTCGTAGTTCCTTGTCAGTTTTTATTTTTTGTGAGGTGAGCATCTTTTATTAAAACAAAATGTTATTTAAAAGAAAAAACAAGAACAATGATCTTGCGATTATTTCTTCTTTAGAGAATTCGGATTATTTCTTCGTGATTATAACACAGATTATTATTTTAATTAATGAAATTTCTTAAGATGACACAGTTTTAAATTCACCCCATCATAATCTACTATCAAAATTTTTTTTCTGAAATTAACAGCATAATTGAATTATCCTAATATATGGTCCATATTGGAATTTCGTCGGCCCCGTGTGTGCCGAATTTTGGGTCCTATACTGTATTATGTTTTAGGTACATGAAAATCTTCTAAACATAATTTTCAACTCATCAATAAAAAAGGTTTCCAAAATCTTGCAGCAAAGAAAAGCTTATATACTGCTTCTGTGTGGGTTATAGATTTGGCCAGTAGTTATACTTTTTATTTAAAAAAAAATCTAGAATTCAAAAAGATTAAACAAATAGTTAAGAATATAGACAGTTCTGAATAAACAGAAATTATGCACAGTTATATACGTATTTAATATTTTGATGGAAAGTTAACAAAACAATTATTGTTTCTTAATAAAAAATATTGACAGAAATTAGTACAAGGTACAATTTATAACTGAAAAAAATATAAGAATTTTGCTTTTTGTCGACAAGAGGAACTTAAAATATAGATAAAAAATCTGATCAGAACAGCAAATAAATTTAAAAAGTACATGAATTATTGAAGTGAAAAATTCATACTAGCATTTGTCCTTTTGTGATAAATGAGTTATAATAACCACAATAGTGCTAAATTAAATTATTGCTATCAAACTATAATAACAAAAAAATAAATAAATATCAGATGTCATAAAAAATGTTAATAAGCTATAACCTCCCCATCTACTTACACAAAACTCAAATAAGCATAAATCTACATCTAATTATCGTGCGGATGAAAATCTGTGAGTAGATGAAAATTAAATGTACACTATCACTTTTTGTAATTTAACTAACTGATGTATTTTGATTTGTAGTAAAAATAAAAATTAACAAGAAAGCATTAATGAAGAAGAAAATCAACAAAATATAGATGCATATTCTTCTTTCAATAACACATGTTTCTGAAGATAGTTATATCAAGTTTTCTCATCAAATTAATAAAAGTTTCAAATTGAGAAATTCTTACATAAAAAATACAGCTTTTTAGAATCTTATATAGTTTTCACTGAATTTTGACATATATATATATACACATTCATAAAAATATATTCTCTAAATAATTGATAAGATCAAGTCATGCATAACTGAAAATATCACAAAATACAACTTTTTGTGCACTAACTTGTTTGTCTTTTTTACAGATGTTCTAGACATAGATTTTTAAATAAGGTAAAAAAAAAAATGAAAAAAAAAAAACATCCATCACAGTTTAAAGCACATGTTCAAAATTACAGCATTTAAAAATGAAAATCATGATAACATCAGTTTGAACAAAAGTATCTTTGAAATTTTAAAATAATAAGTATTACCAGTTAATTTGCAAGCAAGTACTTATCGTTCATAAAAAAAAGAAAAAAAATTAACACTGTATGAATAAAATACCAGCACAAATATTTACCTGATGACTGAATTTCTTTCCTTTTTTGATTCAATTCTAGTTTATCCGATACATTTCTGCAGGGTGAATCTAGCACTGATGGTCTAACCTAAACATTGTGAAAAAATAATAAATGTACATTATGAAAGAGAAAATTTATATATAAAAGCAATAAATTAAAAACACTGAAATATTAAAAAAAAAAAATAATATTAAATTCAAAGAATTTCAGAAATGTTGATTTATTTTTGGTAAGCAGTTTTAGTGTTGCTGCCTTGAAAACTTTAGAAAAACCTATTACCATAATATTATAAAAAGTAATGATAAAAGTAATATTATAAAAAGAAAAGAAAATAGTTACAATGAGAGGGACTCTAAGGAATCCTTCCTTCGAAAAGAAGAGGCAATGTTTAGAAAACACATTTCACGCCATCAAATATCGTTATAGATTTTATTTTTGTATAAACATATACCAAAACTGTATTTTTAATTTAACCAATTGATTTTTGAAAAATAAGTTGGAAAATTTCAAGAGTAATGACGAGATCATTCGAAGATAAATAACAAACTTAGAGTAAGTTAAATGAAGAGCTCAGTGGAAGATGACTCTCTTAGCAACACTCAAGTGAATTTAAGCAATTGTTTTTTAAGTTTATATTGCATTGTTATTATTGGCTTCATATCATACAATCTTTGCTTTTGGTATATTAAAAACAGTGTAACATACAAAATTTTTAGGGGCACTTAAAAAATCTTCCTATATGCAACTCATTCTAAATAAACTTTTTCAGTTTATGGCTGAAAGAAGGTGCTAATTGCAGTTTGATATCTATAGTTAGCTTCTTCCAATCAGAGCACAGTGAAATTACGTTGCTAAGTGCTTACATTTACATAGTTTTAAGACTTTGCAAACCAAATGAATGTTGTATAGCTAAACAGGCGAAAAAAAAAAGAAGCTAAATATTTCATGAATAATGTTTTCATATTTTATTTCAAAAAAGTATATATACATATATTTCAAGTACTTAATCATATTTCATTATGCCAATAGGAATTTATAACTGATTTCAACTCTTGCATGCAAAATAAAAATAATACTGTTAGAACTGCCTAATCTAAAGAAAAAAAATAAATCTCAAAATGTTGTTTAGAGATACATTTAAAGTACAATCGCATTATTTAATCCAGATAAAATTCCTTTCTTTACTTTTGTTTATGTAAAGTATTTTTTTCTCTATGCTGTAAAAACAGTATCTAAAATTCGAGGGAAAAAAAAAGGAGAAACACAATTTTCATAAAAATATCATAATTTCCATAGCATTAGTTGCGAAAGCGCATAAAAATTAAAAAAGAAAAAAATCAGTAATTATTTGAAATTTTTTGAGATCCTTGTCAAGTCCTTTAAGACAAAAGGTTAATTTTTCAAACTTTATAATATTTATTACAAAACTAATATTTAGCTTACTGGAAATGGTTCAGGACCTTCTTGGATGACAAAACCATCAATAACATGAGTCAATACTTGTGGCTTTACTATAGCCTTTTGGGGTTGTTTTTCTTTAACAGGACCTAATGCTGGTTTGGCTATTGGCTGTTGAGGTTTTAATGGTTCTTTTTCTACAGACGCTTCTGCAGTTTCATTTTTATGAGATGTGATTGCTTCTTGCATGGGCTCAGTAGAGACAGATTTATTTGGCTCACGAACAGGGTCAGAGACTACAACAACTTTAGGCAATGGAGATACATGCGACACTGATGGAGTAATGGTTGAAATGACATCAAATGTAGGCACTGAAGTATTAATTTGAACAGTGGAAGTAGGTAGTATAGGCATAGAAGAAGACACTGTTGTGATTGTTGATGTTGAAGTGGACACAGACATATCATTGCAGGGAGAAACGGTTGCTTGAATGATTTTGGCGGAAGGAGCGACCATAGCCTGTGATTTTGGTAGTGGTGGAGGCGGAAGCTGCTGTTTGGCATCGACACCTACACATACAGATCTACTATAAGTAGCTATTGGCTTTCTATCGTTAGTTTGGTTTGTCTGAGTTTGATTTGAAGCGTCTGATTTTTGTTGAGTAAGTATATGGATGGAAGGCTGTTGCATATGTTGCGGAGCAATTTGAGGTGGTTGATTCGTTTGAGTCTGGGTTGTTGCCATCTGAGGAGCTATTTGAGGTGAACATGCTGTAGCAATTGGTTTAGGAGCTTTTGGTTTTATCTGAAAAAGGAAGTAATAAAAAAATTCAAAAGGAAAGTAGATATTAAAGCAACTCATTCAATAACATTTAAATCATTAAAATGAAAATAAAATGTAATTATAAATTACTCTGAGAATTGGAGCACAACATACAAGAACTATAAAAGGATAAATATTAGTCCCTCAGTTAACCTTGTAAAAGCCACAAAACACAAGTTGAAACAGTTATGATGCTAAAGTAAGTCATTTCAATAAGGTTTAAAATATATATTGACAGTCAGAGTTAAACTCTAGTTGTAAAATATTTGCTTTATAAAATAATCAAAAAATAACTATGTTCTTTTTAAAAAATTGGAAATAAACAGTTCTAAAAACGGTGATAAATTTTAATGATATAAAGAGGAAAGTTCATCACCTGAGCACGTATAGGTGGAGTGTTAGAATGTACAGTAGGAGCACTAGAAACAATAGTCTGAGTCGCTACAGCTACTGTTTGTGTACCTGGCCTCACCTATAATAAAAATAAAATTTAGTTACAAATTTGAAAAAAATAATAATAAAAACAAAATTATTAATAATGTGAATTCTTCAAAGAATAAAAATGATTTTATTTTACAGTTACAATACAAATCACTTATTAGCTCACACTAAATTTTTAAAAAATGTACCATAGTTATAGAAAGAGTTTCTCTGCACTATTAATTTGTTTCACTATATATATATATATATAGATATATATATATATATATATCTTTCCACTAGATATCCACCAGTTAAATGCAATTTTAGAGTAAAAGAAGTTCTAAAAGTTCCAAATGCTAAATATTTACATATAACATTTAAAAAAAATAATTAACACAAGAAATTTTCAAATCTTATTCATTACATATCAATTGTAAATTAGTCTTTATTTCTTTAATTATTAAATTGTTTTGGCAAATGTACATAAAAATTCTCTATACGGACAATCTTTCCAATTCATATTTAAAACACACACACACACAAGATGAATTATTAATCTTTATACACAGAAAAATTCTCATCAAACAGATAAATGTTGAATTTAAATTCAACAAATATAAAACTTGAAAAGCAGGTGTAAAGTTGAGCTTATTTTGTTACTTAAAAAATAATAATAGATGTGGAATAAATAAACATACTTTAACTTGCTTTTGCTTCTGAGGTATATTGGCAGTGGAAACGAAAGAAGTTGGAGGCATTGGCTGAGCAGCAGCTGCAGCCACAGGTAAATGCATGGCAGTTTGAGGTTGCTGTTGTATATACATGTTTGATTCTTGACTCCTAATAATGATAGGATTTTGGCCAAGAAGAGCTGATGACTGTAAGCATCCTGGAGTAGCCCAAGACAGACCAGGTGGCAAGGACGCTCCAATTGTTTGCAGTCCTTCATAAAAAATTAAATTAATATTTTCTTCCTTCCAATTTTTACAAAATCTAATTTTAATCATCAAAGATACTGTTCATTGCGATAAATTTGATGAAATTGTTCTCAAGAACAAATGAAAATGTTTAAAAAAAACAAGAAAATAGTTAAAAGAAAAACAATGTTCAATTTATTAAAAGGTTCAAAACAAGAACTATAAAATTTCAACGGAAGTTTGCAATACCTTCACATCTAACTTGAAAAGTGTAAGGCTTCGAAATTCATCGAATTTCTTTCTTTTAAATAGAAAGTAACAAGTCACAGAATTATCTCCTTACAAGGTTTTTAGGAACACTACTAGAATAACTAAGGCATAAATGATTAAACAGTACAGGCCCCGTTATCCGGAAATCAGAAAGAAATTCGATACATTTTCCCGCCATTTAAAATAATTTTTTTTTTTCCTCCTAAGATTTTAGGATTTTTCTTTCTTTTTTGAAAGATGTTTACCTTACCATCATTTTGGAAATAATCATTAGTGTATTACTTCATCGTTTTTTTCTTCTTTTTAAGATTATTTTCANATTCCTAATTTTTTTTTTTTTTTTTTAGTTTGGTTTAACAATAAAAAAAACTGCTTTTTGTAGCGATTCAGAAAACCGGAAAAACCAGTTATCCGGAATAGCGATGGTCCCGATCGTTCCGGATAATTGGTTCCCGATTATATATGAGTGATTGAGTCAAAAAACTTGCACCCACTTATTTCTTCACCAAAGTAAAAATAGCTTCCATTGTAGACTTAATTAGACAGTTAAGTAGTATTGTTTTGTGTTTATCTTTAGAAGGAAGTAAAGAAACTTCTGCTACAGAAGTTATTTTTCAGTTAGTGTCGATCCGGTTGATATTTAAGATTTGCAACAAAATGCTTTACACATTAAGTAAAATGTGGCAATAACTTATCATGTTCCTAATACATATACTTATTTATTTCTACAAATTGAAATCTTATTTAAATTCATCAATTTCATGAATGGTTAATTAACAGCATCTATGGATTGCAAGCATTTATTATTTTTACCACTGCTCAATATTTTGGTTGAAACTAAGTGGTAGGATTCTATTGGCAAAATATTAAACACAAAAACATTGTTAGCAACACTTAATTGGAAATTCGTAATAAAATGGAAAGAGTTGAATACCTACCAAATAATTGGGCTTGGTTTAAAACATTTCCAGGAGCTTGAGAAGTTATTATTTGAGGTTGAGATGAAATTTGTTTTAATTGAGCACTATTGAATACTTGAGCTGTAGAATTGACAGGCAATGAAGAGGAATAAAGAGATTTAGGTTGAAGAGCTGTTGGCTGACTTTGAAATGCCTGATAATAAATAAATATATATATATATATATATATATGAAATAAAACCTATTACTTTATATATTTCTTATAAAATAATGAATAATGAGGAAGAAAAACAGCACACATACAAGCATATCAAGGGCTTGAAGCAACATAATAAACTATATTTTCAAATTGTTTAAGAAAGTATCTTTGTTGAAATAAACACGATAGTTTTTAAATTGTCAATATGATGTTTGGGTGTACCGGAAATAACAGAAACTTGAACATATTTAGAAACAACTTAATTAAAAATATCACCTTCAAAAAGTTTAACTCTTCATTATATTGAGTTTCTGCTTGCGCACTTAAGATATATAAATGAGTTGATAAGCTTTAAAATTTAATGTAAAGAGAGATTTACTAACAATTGAATCCTATATATTCAACACATATTTTTCTTTTAAGATATTTGTTTCATTTTGAAACAAAATTATTATTCTTTATCAAAATTTGATTGTGCTTGTTTAAAATTTGTTAATATTGTGCTAATATTTATTAGTAGTGCATTGTTAAGGTTTATTTGCTTAAAATAACAGGAAATATATTTTCTTCTAACAAGAGTTCCATTTATATGCTATATTTTATATACTTTCATAAATTATACTAATAATATGATCAATTTCAAAGTAAAGAACTGTAAGAGAAGTTACATAAAAAATTAGCAAAAAGTAAATATTACATATGCTTTTCCTTTTTGTGAATCTTGAAGAGCCTTTTGATTAAGAATTGTTTGTTGATTTGGCAACATTCCCAATTGTCCGATAACAACAGTTTGATTAGCATTTGCTGGAGCAAAACCAGACTGACTGTGTATAATGGTTGATTTTCCACCTTGGGCAGTCATCATTTGTTGTTGGAAATTAGCTTTGGGTGCTGTAAACATTTGCCCTGGTGCAGTCATCATAGTTCCAGCATTGACAGCAATGCTTTGCTGCGAGGAATAACAAAAAATATTAAGTACACTACCAGGTGAATAAATAAAATACACTATAAAAATATTTAAAAAATGATTCAGGCTTTAAAAAGTTGTAAACAAATTTTAGAAATGGCATGGATAATTAAGGTGTCCAAGTGCAATGAAAATATGCTTTTTCAACTGCCATTTAAGGTTCTAGTGATCCTATAAGTAACTGAATTTACGTCAGTGGTAATTCAAAACTAATTATTCAACTCAGACTATTAAATGAAAATAAGTACATTTTTATATTTTCTTTCTTTATTTCATTTAAGTAATTTATTCTCAGAGAATTGTGTCTTTTTTTTAAAAGAAAAAAGTGCTAAAATTATTGCTCTTAGGAGCTAGCAGTTTCGAATAATCTATTACATAAATGTTTAGAAAAGGGACGATACTGGTTAAGGATTGAGGGTAATTTGACAAAAAAATTTAGATTGAATATATTTGCAGTTTTCATTGCATTTTAAAACAACAAAATTAAACTTGAACACAAACCTTTTTTTCTAATCAATTAATTGAAGTCTTGAGACAAGTATTTCTAGGGCTGTCACTGGCTAGAGACTCAAAATAATAAATTTAGATGCCACAAATAAAAAACAGAATAGCTGCCAGAGGCATAAAATAATAGTTTTCCTCCACTAACATATTACCTGCACCAAATGAGGGGAGAAAAAGTTGCAGATTTTTTGCAACAGAATATAAAATAATTGTTTTTTCCTATTTCTTTTTTAGAGAAATTAGTCACCTTAGCAGCCTCCCCCCCCATTCAAAATAGTTGCTTTAGTCACCTTCATAATTAAAAATGGCAGTCCTGTATCTTATGTGGTTTAAAAGCAATGATATCACAAAGGAATAAAAAATTAAAATAATTTTTGGAAAAAATATGTAGCATTAGTTCACACATAACGTTGTAATAAAAAATCTTAAGCATTATGTAAAAAAAATTTTTCTTCGTATTTTGTTGCGTTTTGGAACTTTTAGAATGCTGTTCTATTAAAAATATTTTAAAAACCATTGATAACTTTCTACATTTTTACCAATAACAACTAACTTTTTTAGCTTTTTATTATAGAAGAACGAACATCTGCCTTTTACAATTCATGTTGCTGTTTATGATATTCCCTGCCATGAGTCAATTAGACCTTAACAAAAGAAAATAAAGTTTAAAACAGCTTATTAACAGATATTGGAAAGGAAACAATTTTTTTCCATTTACTTACTTTATTGGTATTAACTGCTTGCAAATTTTGAGCACTACCTTGTTGTTTAGGATCTATTGCTTTAGCTTGCAGTTGAAGACTGAGGCCTTGAGTTGCACCAAGACCTTGAAGAGATTGGGCTGTCATACCGGCATGCTGTAATGTTAAGTTTCCTGGGAAAAGCATTTGCTGCTGAGGATACAAATGTTGAAGATAAGAAGCAGGGAGTTGCTGTGGCTGAATTACTTGAACCTACAATTGAACCATATAGTATTATTTGTGACAATAGTATTGGAAAGTTACACAACTTGAAATATATATTGCGCTAAATGGTGCATTAGATACACAGTATTAAAAAAAAAACTACTTAGGTGTGAAAAATGCATTAACACAACACAAGTTTGAAAGTATTTTGATATCATTATTAACTTTATAAAGAGCATGACCTGCCTCCTCTTCAGGGGTTTCAGGTAGAACTTTTAGTCCCCTTTTTAGTTTGATTTTTACAATAGTTAATCATTTAATTCTATGTTGCGTCTGCAAAAACAAACTGCCACGGCTGAAATTAATAGAGATTTTGCATAGCATTTACAGCTTCTTGGTTAAGCAAGCATTACGATTTCTTTACAGAAAGCATATGCAAAAATTTCTACACAAATTGCAGTTTAGTTAAGGAGTAGAAAACAAAATTAATGTAAACCAACTGCTAAATAAAATCTCTCAAATAAAGAAAAACAAAGTAAGAATTAACTGGTTGGGAAAAAGTAAGATCTAAATGATTAACAACTTTTTTTTTCCTAATGAGAAAACTTAGATAAAATTAAGACATTAAAAATATATACTTTCAAAATTTCCAATAAGAAATAGAAAGGAGTTTTTTTCATTGACCTTGCCCTGATCTTTGTAGTTTCAGGCCTCAATGGCATTTGCCCCCTTTGCTAACTTCATTCCTCAGGCCTTGCTCATTTCTACAATTCACAGGCAATTTTATATATATATATATACAGTAGAGTCCCAATTATCCGAGTCAATGGGGACCGCAACAAACTCGTATAACTGAAAAACTCGGTTAACGCAAAGGGTATAAAAACAGAAAGAAAAAGAGAAGGCATAAATGTAATATATTTAAGAAATAAAAAATGTATACGAGTATACCACATACAATTCATATTATAATTAAAAAGCTTACTTAAAAACATTTAAAAAGCATACTTTAAGAGAATTAAATAGTTTTTACTTAAAAAAAGTCCTTAATCGTTTTTTGGGAGCTTTTCTGTAGTAATGTTTCGCCTTTTTTAGGGATAACAGGAAGGCTGGTGTCGCCTCTTTTTGTTGTTCTATATATTCCATAGTACATTCGATAGTTTTTAGTCTATCTGTATGAGAGATTTTTATATGCTGATTTTAATAATCACTGTCCTCATCATCTTCGCTAGATTCATTATCATTATTGACAATATTAACGATAATTTCATCAGACCAAGTTGTTGGATTTTGTTTTTCTGAGTGTTTGGAAGATAAAATTCAGATTTATTTTTCAGCGTTTTTTTGAAAATAAACTAGAACAAAAAAAATCCTTGAAATATTTGATAGCTCGGTTAAAGCGGAAACTCGGATAACCGGGGCTCGGATAATCGGGACTCTACTGTATTTATCTATTTGACATCGANATATATATATAACTACAAACGGCTTGTTTCATTAACTAATATGTCTTGATCCTTTGGAGTTGCAGGTCACTATGTATGCAATTGTTCCCTTTGCTCACATTTACAACTTGTAACAACTTTTTCTTATTTGTTGTTGTTTCCAATCCCAGATGGGACAGTGGAGCTATACCAGATACATGAGGCCATGAGTCTTCAAAAAATCGAGGAAAAGGAGAGGCCTCTCAAGAACCTCTTCCATGGTGAAATCCAGGCAATCAAGTAGACGGTGAGGACTAGCCTTGGAGTTGCACTTTTTACAAGTTGGAAAAAGTTTAATTTGTCCACTGAGACTAAGGCTCTTAGTATGCCGACTGACAAATCTACAGGTTTTTTGATACGTGTACCCTGAAGGTCAAGGGCTCCTCCAGGACGCTTGCGGGGATACCAATTGTGATCCGGTGGAACAAGCCAAGCTTTATTAACTTTAGATTTGCGAATAGAAAATAATTCAGAGTAAATGAGGGCTGTGTTTGGAGAGGCTGGGAGGGAAGTACCTTCTTTTGCCAACTGATCAGCACGTCGGTTGCCTTTTTCTTATTTGCACAAGCTAATCTATGGATTTTCGTTGGAATTATGCATTAGATTAGTAAAAGTAACAATTATGTACTTAAAATTATATTTCCTAGAGTACAAGCCTACATTTTTACTAAATTTAGTAAAACATTTCATTATGTTTTAAGCCTTAGCAATCAAGTATTTTTTACATATTATTAAATCTTAGCAATGCATACTTGTTGAAGAGGTGACTGAGCCATTGTGGGATGAATCATAGTAGGATGAGGAGCAGAACTTTGAGACATCATAGGCATAGTTTGTGCTTGGGCAGTAAGTTGAGGTACTGAAGTTTGTACTTGTGTTCCGGCACTAGTATTCAATTGCGATACAGCCATTTGTACTTGTTGTCCAGTACTAGTATTAAGCTGCGTCATCTGAACAGGTCCTCCTCCGGTAGCATTTCGTTGAGGTACTGTCATTTGTACAGGAGTACCAGATCCTTGTAACTAAAATGTAATCAAATTTTTATTAAAAATTGCTAATTTAGAAAATAACTTAGGTACAACATTATTGTAATATATTCTATTCTTTAGCATTTAGTTTTTTCAACTTGAATTTTTTTCCTCTCTTAACAAGTATATGGATGGTTGACCACGTAAAGCTAAGCACAGGCATTTTATTGGATACTAAATTTTGCACAATATTTGCATTATATACTACTATAATTATGATTAATCTCATATATCACAAATAAAAAATTTAACCAAAATTATTGAAACTATTAATCGGTCTACCTGATGGCACTTGACTTCTAATACTTTAAGACCAGGGTTGGCTCAACATTTACCATGGTTTTTACTCGTTGGGAAAAACCAGTTTTTCCCATCAATAATAAATTTTTTCCCATCTTGAGAATTTTGTAAAATTTTTTCTGCTATTTCTTAAGACATCTTAAAAGCATTCATTAAGACTGTATTGAATTAAGAAATTTGAATATTGAAAATAGTGTCGTACTAAACATTTCAGAGCAATATATGATTATTTTAAGAACTAATGATCTAAAAAGCTTTGCTAGGGTCGAAAATTTCTTCATACTCCTAATAAAAAATATTTAGTCCTGATTTGTCCTTTTTCTCCAGATTTTTTGTTTTAGAGCAATATTATGACTCCTATAATACTCCATATAACAATGTTAAATGCACTGCTAATATTAAATGTACAAAAACTGTACGCTCGTAACAAGTTAAAAATTACTAGCCTTCCGCCCTTCAGGCAGAATTTTTTCGAGCAATCCGCGACAAAACTCTAACACTATTGTCTTTCTGCAAGATATGTTTAATAATAACAAACATATATCTTACTAATTTAAAATAACAAAAACAACACGTTAACAAAAGGAAAAAAAAAACTACATATAATTTTTCTTGAATTGAACATATAAAATTTTTTTATTCAAATAATATGGGTGATATTCTCGCATTTTGTTTGGGGGGGGAAGCAAAAATTATTTCCTCCTTTGCATTTTGTAAATAATCGTCACAATAAAATATAATAATTAAAAATCATGAAATCCATTGAAGTATTTGTTGAAAAAAAGACCGATGGCGAACTCAAGTGAATCGGACTAATCGATTGCGTGTTTCATTTCAAGATTAAGTTGTTGTAATAAATAATACTGCAGTAAAAATATCAGATTTAAAAACTGTGGAGAAATCAATAGCAATAATTGCCAAAAATTCAATAGAATTATTGCCTTAAAAAGTAAATACTCAAATGCACAATTAGTATTTTCCATATTGTTTGAAATATATAAGGATATTTAAAAAACACGTTAAAATCAATATCAATAACTGCCGAAAATACAATTGAAATATTACACCGGTTTACGATGCTATCGGCGTTAATTGAGTGCGTCAAAAACTGATTATCTCAATATTTATTACAAATACATTTCTGCAGTAAAGGAAAGCAGAATTTTCAACATTTAAAAAGAAAAATCTTTCTGCAAGAATTATGCAACTTTCTGTGACAATGTTGCTGTGTCACAACGATTCTGCCACTGGGCCTTCCGCTGGAGCAAAATTTATTCTTTTTTATGTTTTAGTGAGCAATAATACTCAGAAAAAAAATAAATAAAAGATTGTTTTTTTAAAAAAATTTCTGGCATTATTAGAGAAAAGTAAAAAAACAAACAGTTTGTTTTGCTCTTACAATAATAACCCAAAATTATTATTTTGCATTGGGAAACATATGAAGGTAATCACGAGCTAATTTGTCGTAATTTCTAAAAGAAAAATACCTCTGGTGTTTTTGGAAATTCTGCTGCATACTTCATAAGAATGCATCCGTACTTTAGTTGATCAGAATCTATCATGCTGCCTATTTTGCATCTGATAACTGATTTCATCTTATAGCTAACTGAGATCAATATTCAGTATTATCAGTGAAGTCAAAACCTATATTTTAACTACTCAGTTTAAATGTCAGGTAATAACTACATGTTGTCAATTGTTATCAATCTACTTATTGATTTTATTTCTTCATGTTATAATTTAGGCAAAAGATTTTAGATTAAATAAAATTAAAATGTTTGTCAATATTTGTCTGATTTCAATGTATAATTTTTTTTATTTTATTTATCCTAACTATTCAATATTAATTATAGTCAGGGGAGAAAGGTTTTTATTTTTCCAACAGGTTTCCTATTGTTAAGCATTGAAATAATTGTTACTTCTTAACATTTCATAACACATTTAAACAACTTATTGAGTTGAAAATTAGTAAAATAGAGATGAATTGAGGGTAAATAATAAGGTATAAACCATAGAATAATATATTAAGTGAATTATAAAAGCTACACACTTGCTGAAGAGGTGCTTGAGTCATTGTCATCATAGGATGAATCATAATTGAATGAGGACCTGAACTTTGAGATATCATAGTTCCAGCAGGCACTGTTTGAGCTTGAGCAGTAAGTTGAGGGACTGAAGTCTGAATAGGAGCTCCAGTACTAGTATTAAGTTGAGATACAGATATTTGTACTGGTTGTCCAGTATTAGAATTAAGTTGCGTTATTTGAACATCAGATACATCTGAATTAGAGATCATTTGAGAATTAAGAGAATTGAGTTGAGGCACTGTCATTTGCATGGACTGGCCAGTACTAGTATTTAAATCGGCCATTTGAACTTCAGGAACATCTGATGCAGCCATTATTTGAGGATTTTGTGACATCATATTACTGTTTTGTACAGCTTGTACTTGAGCAGTTAATTGAGACACGGAAGTTTGGACTGGCGTACCAGAATTGGTATTCATTTGAGATACAGCCATCTGCACATTGTTAGTATTAAGTTGCGACATTCCCGTGTTGTTATTACCTTGAGACAGAGCCATTTTTAATGGTTTTTCACAGTAATTTTCTTGTTACTTGGGTCATAACCTCATTCAAAACATAGAATCATTTCTAACACTTCAACTTTACTATTCAACTAATGTTATTAAATACAAATAGATGCCAAGCTGATCTTGGGATTTGCGCATGCGCAAAGCAATTTTTTAACAAAAGTTTGTAAGAAATCAGGCAACAAAGGAAATGAATAATATCTTAAATGTGGCAACGATCAACCTAACTTCTATTATTTGGCGATATACCACCATATCGGCAATTAATAAAACGAGGCTCTCTCGCCAAAAGAATAAAAACGCTATTGTTTCATTCCCACAAAATTGGAAGCATATCTTTAAATCTACTTTATTTGTTATCTCGTTAAAAAAGATTTTACCCTGTTTCAAATCCGATAAATATTTTAAAAACGATTAAACTTTTTCAGAATTTGATACCTTGGCAAGATTTTTGAATTAGCAACAAAACGTGATTAGAATCGATGAATAATTTTCAATTCTTGAATATTTTTAATAATTTGATGATTAATTAATTTTTTAAATTAAAGAATTTTATTAGTGTAACTTTTTACTTTTCTATCGTTATGATGCACGTAAAAATTTGTTTAACATTAGGAAAAAAATGTACACTGTGCGCAAAAAAAAAAAGAAAAAAAAAAAAAAAAGAAATGGGCCACCATAAATGACTTTTGATCTGTCACGTTCGAACTTCATCTTAATGATACGAGGGGGTGACCTAAAATATGCTAATTAATTAGTGCAAATGATATTTAAAATTATTAAATCAGACACAAAAACGTACTTTCTCTAAATAAGCATACCTATTTTTCGTCAGTTTCAGACTTCTGTCCTCAAAAACGTATGGAGCAGCCACAATCTAGGATAAATGCTCTCCATAGCTTGGTCAGAAGAGCGATCCAAAATTTGGATGGCCTAATGTTAATTTTTGCGTATTTCACTATATTTCAAAAACATTTTAAGCGAACTGAAAATTTTTTACACACAATTGGGTATACTATAGCCTACGTCACAGGTTGTGTTATTCCTACTAAATTTAATCCATGAACGGCATTTTCTGCGAGCCTAACTTCAAGCCACAAATAAACAAACAAAGTGTTCGCCAGATTTTATTGCATTATAAAGAAAAGTAATTGATATTCGATTTTTGATTAATAATTGATTTATGTGGATAGTGGCATAGAATTTAGCATTGCGTCATGGTAAATGTTATTCCTACTAAGTGGAAGTAGTTGTGTTTTTTTTTATATTATACCCAATTATAAAATTCAATTATCCAAAGATAATTGTAGTATGCAAAATATAAATTTTAATAAATATCTGTGATTTTTTATAATTTTATTTAATGATAGTCGTAGAATGTTTGAATTTTAAAGAATATAAATTTTTACGTAATCTCAAAGTATTTTATTTTACATGACAAAATACAAAATTTGAGTTAAATTAAAATTTAAATATACGACTTTTTTAAAATTCGATTACTCAGGAACTATTGCACCGATTTCGTTCAAATGTTGTATTTTGCTATGAGAAATTAGATACTTTAAAATGATGCATAAAATTGTATACCTTACAATTCAAATAATTTTTGCCTATTACTAAATAAAATAATAAAAAACTAATAAATACTTACTAAAATTTATTTTTTGCATGAATTTATGTTTGGATAAATGAATTTTATAATTGATTGTATAATTCTCGAGATATGGCGAAATACGCAAAAAGTAAAAGTATCATTAGGGGGTTCAAGCTTTGGAACGTTCTTTTGATCAAACTAAGGGGGACTACATACCCAAGTAGCACAGAAACATCGATCTATACCGTGGCCGTTCCTATCAATATTTTGAAAGCGGAGGAATATAGATACTGTGAGCAAGTTATTGAATGAATTCCGTCAATGAAACTTTAAAAGTATTTTTCTTAAAACACTCTATATTAAATATATTTTAGCTCCAAAGTTCAAAATAATTGTTAGAAAGATAAAAATAAGTAAAATTTCTTTATACTTGCTCACATTAGTGGCAATCTGGCATATATGCCAGATTGCGACTACGCCCTATATTTTTGGGGTCAAAAATCCGAATCCGTCGAAAAAAAGTTATATTTAGAGGAAGTACGTTTTTGTATATGATTTCGTAACTTAAAATATCATCTGTACTAATTAATTGGGTACTTGCACTTTAAGAAGACGCTGACATCATTGGTCTCATACCCACATATGTGACCAATGATGTCAGCGTCAGCTAGTCTTTATCAGCAAAATAGCTTATTGAAGTTGAGCTAAGTTTTTCTACATAAGATAGAATGTTAATAAACGGTAAGTTAATTAACAATAATTTAATTAAATACAGAGCAGCATCGCACATCAAATTTGGTGAAATATAATTCGCGATCGCAACGAACTATAGGGGGCGTTGTTGTATGAGACGCATACCTGCGATTTCTATATGAACCGTCATTCAGTTACTCTGGAGACGTCGTTAATGTAGCGTGTAGCATTGCAACGTTCCTTCTTTAATGTGGCTTATTAAATTTAAAAAAGAAAAATGCTTGATCTTCTTTCTTGTACAACCGAAAACAAAATGGTATCTCTTTTTATTAGAGAAGGAATATCCAAAACACATCGGAAAAATATTTGTACATTAACAGAAAAAAATATGTATATTCTTATAAGAGTTAAAACCTAATGCCCGAGAAATAGTATTACTAAATTTAATGATATAACATGAAAGGCCCATTTAAACTTTACATTCTATAGTTTTAAGAATCATATTAGTTCAAAAATTAAAATGAACAAAAAGTATACATAAGCCTCATAATTTTATGAAATTTAATTTTGTAAACAACGTTTTTTGACAACAATTTTTATCAAAAAATTTCAAGTTTCAATAAAAATCATTATTTAGAAACTAAGAAACGTAAAATAAAGAATGCTGACGAAACAAAAAAAAAAAAAAAAAACAATTCTTTTTTGTCGCCATTTTTAGTGCTACGAATATTCGTCTTTGGGATTTGCCAAAAACAAAACAAGATGCAATTTTATTTTTTCAGGAGGGAAATATTTTACCGAAAAAACGAAAATGTACCAATTCCCACAACATAAAACTTTATCTTGGCAAACGTACGTTTTGGAAATGTTATTTCATTTGGAATCTTATTCATCAGAGTTCATATGGCGATATGATTGTTTTGAATCTATGCTAAACTCTATATCGGCTCATTTTCCACCGAAATCCAATTAACTATTTTGATTTTAAATAAAGTGTTTTATTTTATGAACTGTCGCAAAAATTTTAAGTGTAGATTGGCGGCACTTAAAAACCGCCAAATCTGTAGCGGCGGTGGCGTTAATACGTCGTAAGTACCGAATTTTTATTCCATACTTTTCTGAATCATATTATTTCAAACATTGGAATATACAAGAAGTATACATAAACACATAATGTTATACCATTTAATTTTTCAAAAGTATTTTGAGAACAATTTTTATCAAAAAATTATAAACTAAAAAACGGAAAATAAAGAATTCTTAGGATAAAAAAAACGATTTTAAGAATTATTAACATTGAAATAAAAACTTTCATATTGTTTCTTTTTTTATTATTCTTATAGTTCTTAATCAGACGTAAAAAACCATTCTGTAGAGAACCATCATCAAATGAAAAAAAAATATTTACAAGCAAATTTTTTATTGTAAAAATCATTGCACTTACCTGATTTATGATTCCCGGAGAATTCCAAAATGATAAGTTCCTTGTTTGAAAACTTTATTCTCAAATAATAGATACATAGTTTATACCTTCATTACTTTTAGATAACATACTACACAGCAAAATTTTATAATTGATATGAATTTGAATATGTAGCTAAAAACAGAATAGCTGAATTCTAGTTGAACTTATTCTTTCAAAATTAAAAAAAACTTACCAAGAAAACGATTTAAATTAATTAAGAATCAGCACAAATGGCACTATTTCAAGTAACTTGGATAATTTTTTATTGTTGTTTTCCGAATTATATGGATACAGAAATATATACTATTCTATAACGAAGAAGAATATGCTATAACTATTACAATTCTGTATGTTCTGAATTCATATTTATTCACTGGAATGACGAAAGCAATGTTGACTTCACTTTAATTCGTAATGAATTGAAGACAGAAGAAATGCATTTTACCTTAATACACACATCTGTAACAGTATCCGAAATCGGAAGTCATCAGTTGCAAGTTTGTTGATAATAGAAATTAAAAATTATTGAGGAATTTTTCTTCAAATGTTTGGCGTGTTCTGTTCCTGAAAGATTTACTAATATTCTGGAGATTTTTTTCAAGTTCTTCGGCCTTTTCCTTAGGGAAATTTTGTTTCTTATTTGCTGCTAAAAAATGGCGTCTGATTCAGTCAATGACTTTGATGGCAGAAAATGTGATTGTATTAAGTTAATGTCCGATATTTACAGGCTCCCGCTAGACGGCGTACTCGAGCGTTGCGATCGCGAATTCTTTCTCGTCTACTTCTTTTATTTTTAAACTTAGAGTTATTATTTATGTATGAATTTTATTGTAACCGTGATCTATTTCTGCCTCATGCATCTGGCAACTTCGATGCATTATTAGTTTGTTTAGTTTTGTGCCTGTTTTTGTGACAAGTCTCTGCGTAAATATAGAGTGAAAGAATTGAAATTTTTGAGAAAGAATGTTTGTAAAATAATTTAGAATGCATCATTTAAGATAATTAATGCTTGACGGGCTTGACTTTCTTGAAATAGAATGGAAAGAGCAGTTGCTAACGTAAACAAATGCCACATTTCAACAACCAATCAGGATCGAGATACCCACACTACGTCACTTGCAGGCATCCATTAGCATATTTGTGATCACCTCCTCGAATCATTAAAATTGAGTTCTCATCACTAATTAAAAAGTTATTCTGGGTAAGGCTCCTATGCTATGAGAGCTGAACTCTCCGCCATTATGGAGCAGACAAGCTCGCAAGTTACGTTATATTAGTATTAGTATGAGAGTTTGAAGGCTACTTGGATGCCTAAAATTATTCATATGAGTGGTTGTGCGGCAGTAAATTGTACAAACAGTTCAAAAAAAGGCTTTTGAATGCTCAGATTTCCTCC